ATATACGTATGTGTCCCTGTTCTACCTGCAGGAAGGGTGTAGCCCACTTTCCCACCCCAGCAGGACAGCATAAAAGATGGCACAGCAGGTAAAAGTGCTCCTCTGATCCTCCAACGTGCAACAAGATGATGACCTTGCAGACGGTAAAACAAGAACATGTAAAAAAAATTAAAATCCAAACTATAAAAAAGTCTCAATCAGGATATGATGACGTTTGAAGCCTGGTGTTGTGTTTACCAGTCTCTCCAGCCACTGATGGATGTCCATCTGTAACTGTGCGTCATCGAGGACTCTGCGTGTGAAACTAAACAGGACGCTGATGGCCTCTTTCAGAGGTTGAAGAGAACAAGGCTGCGAATGGCTGCCAGAGTAATCTGAAAACCAGAGAAAACTTCACGTCAGCAGTTCAAACCCTTCCTTCACTGAGACCCCGACACGACAGAGCCGCCTAAATGTCCCACCTTTGAGTAGGCGATGCAGGTAGGATTCAACCTGCAGGCGTGACAGCAGCGCGGTGTAGGCATGCAGCGCCACCTTCTGGTGGAGCAGCTCACTGCAGCTCTCGAACAGAACCCGCAGCTCGGCCAGGACGCTCGGGCTAAACTCTGCCTGCTGGAAACGGTGGTATCCACACACCTTAGACTGGTCTGCGCACACACCCTGCAGGGAAAAATCACAACAACAAAGCACTCAATTGGTGGGTTGCAGATGATGTAGCATTGATGTCATGAAATGCAGATGGGGGACAGGAAGTAAATGAAGCCATGTTTCCTTCTGTTGATTCAGTGTAAAAATGCCTAACCTCTGTGCCATGTACGGTTGTTGCAGCCGCTCTAATCAGGAGATATATCAACGTTTTTTTTCATGTTCTGAAAGTAGTGTGTCACAAAGGAGTTAAATTTTAAAAACTTGCAGAAAAAGTAGGACAAAAGTGGATCAACAATCTACAGCTAAAAACAGGAGGTGCGGAAACAAACAGTGCAACAGTTTGCAGCGACCACTTTATAACAGGTCAGGATCGTATTGTTTAAATCATATTGTCAGATATTTTCCTGGATAGTTACTTGAATTTGGGTTTACAGAAACTAAATAAATTATTTGCAAGTAGATCCAAGCACATAGAAATAACAGGAGTTAACTTGTTGTTAGCGTTAGCAATACCATTGTTATCATAGGCTAACTATTTAAAGGGGCAATATCATGTAAAATCAACTTTTTTGAGTTTTATATCATGTTATAATGTTATACTGTCATAAAAAACATGTCCAAAGCCTTGCTTTGACTCATTCATRCATATTTGAGAAATCCTGCAGCGTTTTTAGGAAGCCATGCTGAGGAGCAAAACGACAGGTGGGGACCAGAAACGCCCCTGGGACGTGTCTTTAAGCCAAACTTCCTCATGGCAGAGACCCCCCCCCAACACACACTCACACACACGGCCCGCCCATGACTCCTGCAGGGTCTCATGTGAAAGTGAAACTGAAACTGTCTACTGAGCTCCACTACTTCTCACTCAGTGAAGCTCTTTTCAGATTCATAACACCTTTTAAGGAAATTGTATTTTCAGATGCCAAGCACACTGCATCATAGCACCCCCCCACACACACACACCGAAATGGGCGAGACAGAAGCGGAAGGAGGTTCTTAAAGAGACAGAGGACAATTTCCAATTTCAAGGCGTTTAGAAGAGGAAGTGATGAGAAGATAAGTTTATTTTCTATTTAAACATAAAAACAGCATTTTAATAACAGCTAAAGGTGACAGATACTTTATTATGGTAAATATATGCCTGAGAAACACATAATATTGCCCCTTTAAAATAGCACAACTCACCCAGGCAGAAACAAGTCAAAGCCATTTAAATTTTCTTTGGATCCTTGACCCAACATGAAACTAAATAATTGTAGCTTTGAGGCTTTGAAAGCTTTCATCTGGCTCGTCGTAGCCTCATGTTATAATATGAGGTCTGCAGCACCAGCTAGTAGTTTATGTTGAACGCCTCAACACCGGGTAAATCCTCCAGATTATATAACAAGTCTTTTTTTATCAAGATAATATGAGTCATATCCTAAATGTATGCATATTATTTTGCGATATCTTGTCTGCACCAGCCCATTTAGGGCATCAGCATACTTGCTGTGATCCATTTCGCTGTGTTTTGAACCAAAGCAAATCACTTCCTGCCCTCCATCTGACATTCACGCGTCATCCGGGTCACGTGACTGCAACCCAGCAACACTCAGCTTTGTTTAACGCAGGACTTTATTTACAGATTCAAAAGAAAAATAAACAATAAAAACACCTGGAGCGTGAGCTGCTCGTCCCTGAAGCTCCAGAGGCGATTCTGTGTGCTTCTGCAGTCCGACGACTGCGTGTGCAGCTGCGTGTGCGCCTGGCTCAGCTGTCTGCGGCAGCGCCAGTAGTTCTGCACTAGTTCAGTCAGCTCGTGGTTCTCCTGATGGGCCAGAGCGCAGAACTGCGCGGCACAGACGTCCACGCCTTCCAGCCACGCTCGCAACCCACCGCCCGGCTCCCAGACACTCAGCTGCTCCAGTGAGAACGCCTGAAGGAGAAATGACAGGTGAAAATTAAGACGAGTACCGGTAGATTATTCACAAAACAAACGAATTGTTTTAATGAAGTAACTCGTTTTACCACAATTAACAGAAGACGCACAGCTATTATATAAAATTATTTATTATTCACGTTCATGTACCTGCATCTCTGGAGCTGTTTTGGGTAACTCGGGGTACAGTTTGCTCCCCGAAAGCTCAGCTACACATTTCAGAGGCTGCAGGCTCAAAGGAGAGGACTCCTGCTCAGGAAGCGCCAACACCGCCGGTTCCCTTCCACAGTTTTCCACAGCTTCCTCACAGAGTCGTGTCACAGAACCCCCCAGATTAGGAAGCGACGGGTACAAAGCTGGGGCACTCGGGTCGTCAAACTGAGCTGCAACAAAAGGCTGCAAGTCTTTTTCCGGCTCAGAGGTTTGTTGTGCAACTTTAAGTTCAGTCCCTGGAGCTTCCACCCTGATGTCCTCTCCTGCTTCCTTGTTTGACTCCGTTTGGAGAGTTGTCTCATTTGGTGTCACTGCTGACAATTTCAGACTCGACTGTAGAGTTGCTGTTAAATCTGATGTACATGTAGTCGGCACTGAGGAGGTCTGCTGCGTCTCAGCAGGAAGCTGGGATGGCTGTGCCRCTGTGCTGAAGGTTAGGACAGGATTCTCCTGCTCCTCCTGGGTCTCCTCAGGCTGAGGAGGAGAAGAAGGAGGCAAACTGAGGGGGATCTCCGTGAAGTCAGAGCTGGAAACCTCATGACAGAGAGTAGATGGAGCTGCAGCTCTGGCTTCACTCAGGGGGATCTCCGTGAAGCCAGAGCCGGAGGCCTCATGACAGAGAGCAGGTGGAGCCTCAGCTCTTTTATCTTCATCAGCCTGTTTCTGCTTCCTGACCTTCTGAGAACAGAAACAATCAGACAGAAAATTAACTTTGCTTTACAAACCACTCATCATGTCCACATGTGAAGCACATTTTATCAGAACTTATGATTCAAACACACGTGTATATAGGCATGCATTGATTATTTTTTATCTTAGAATATTTCTTTAATCACATTTCATTTCCAAAGTTTAAATAAAAATTTGTTCAAAATGTAAGTACTTCTAAAACAAATGTCTCTATATTACATAATGATTACACCAATGACATATAATTGTATCACAGTACTGAATTTCTTTATTTCCATGTTTCGATGAAGCTAGTCTTTMTTCTAATCTTTTAAAGTGGTCTTGGTCGATATTTCTTCTAATAGTGTTTCAAAATATTTCTTTTGACTTCGTTGGCTATTTTCCCATMCGTCACAATTTTGGAGAGGAATGTTTTTGCTTGTTTGTTAAGCCACTTAACTATAATGAATCACGACGAATCGTTCAGGCATAAAAGACGAGCATTACAGACACTTCTTTGCTAAGTTGTCTCTGTAATGTGTGACTTTTTGTTGCCTAAATGATTCATAATAACAGCAGGACATAATGAAACATGTTTTAAATTTATTTAGTYGAATCTATAAAAAGTACCAAAGACCACAAATGGTGCTTTTGAGTCAACAAGGGGATTCCTAAAAAAACAAAAGAAAAAAAYTGACATGGTCAACTGAAGGATGATGCACCGCTCAGGTCCTGGGTCTGATCTTTGCTGGATATTCTTTGTAATATTTTAGAAAAACATAACTTTCAGATACTGTTCACTACTGCAGAGTTTTCCCAGACCTGACACATTATTTTTGAAGCACACTGCACAACATGTTGTCATGGTCAGGTACAAAGACTGAACAGAAAATGTGTGRAAAARSMAMCMAAAA